TTTTACACGCTTTCAAACTGCTAGGTTGGCAGAAGCTGGGACAAGTAACAGGAGCTCACTCCGTTACGCAGCACTAGGAATTCGAACCGCTGAACTTTCTGATTGACAGCTCAGCATCTTAGCCACTGAGCCACCGCATCCCTGGCGCACATACTACTGATCAGTTATTGATGTGTTTCTAAATAATCTAAAACAGAAAGACACTGTCCCGTTTAATCCAGTGTGAGTGTACTGTTAAATACACCTTTAAGAGTCTCTTCAAATGCAATAACACACACAAACACACACAGGGGGGGGGGGTTGCATATATTAAACAGAACACTGGAGCCTAGCCAACGTTAATGGGTTCATATGTATCACCGCTTCTTGGACAGTGTGCCAAAAAACATGCAACGAAAAGCAAAGAACGGATTCTCCAAGCAACTTAAGGATCACAACACAAATCCTATCAATCAGTAAAAGGGGAGGAAGCAGGACTGGACTTCATGATTTTTTGGGTAGGCACAGGAAGATGGATGGTCCCTCCTCCCAGCTCAGCTTATGTTCCTTGTCTGCCAGCCTTCCTGCCTTTCTCTGGCATGCCACTTTCTGAGCAGGGAAGCGAAGGGTCCCTGTGTGATTCAACAAAGCTGCCTTCTTAGCAATGGCTTTGAGAAAGCAATTCCTTTCGTAGAAGAATATCTACACCCTGCCTTCCATTGAGGACCTGTACACTGCATGAGTCAAAAAGAGGGCTGTGAAAATATCTACAGACCCCTCGCATCCTGGACATAAATTGTTTCAACTCCTACCCTCAAAATGACGCTATAGGGCTCTGCACACCAGAACAACTAGACACAAGGACAGTTCTTTCCCTAATGCCATCACTCTGCTTAACAACTAATTCCCACAACACTGCCAAATCATCTACTAAGACTGTATTACTATTATTTTTCCCATCCTTCCTATTACCTATATCCTCCCACTTATGACTATAACCATATTGCTTGTATCTTTAACATTTATAGTTTTGTTTCCTAGTATAATTTGATTGCTTATTAGTAACCTATGACTATCACTGTTGTATCTTATGATTCTTGATGAATGTACTATTTTATTTTTCTTTATGTACATTGAGAGCATATGCACCAAAGACACATTTCTTGTGTGTCCAATCACACTTGACCAATAAAGAATGATATTGTATTTCTATCCTATCCTATCCTATCCTATCCTATTCTATCCTATCCCTATTCCATTCCCTATTTTCTATTCCATTCCATTGCATTCCATTGTTTCACAAAAAGCTTGTGGCCAAGAGTGATCAGGTCCCGTTTCTTCTGGAGGTAGGACAGGTATTGACCATGAGTGAGAAGAGGTCATCTAAACATTAGGCAGGGGCAGTATCCACTGGATACAGGCTGGGCTACATGGTCCTGGTCTCCTTGACATTTACCTTGAACTCTGCTCTCCCATTTCCAGGAAATAAAGCCATAAGAACCTGCTGCTTACCTTTTTCTTGGAGCTGAACCAAGAAGAGCTTCTTGTGCTCCTTTGGCTTTGTAATATGAGCTGGAATATATGGGTACTGTGGGAAACAATAAAAAGGGTTATTTACTTGGTATCGACAATTAATTCACTTTTTGAACAGATCGAGTCATGTAATTATCATTTAAATCAGTGTTTCTTGACCACTATAAGGCCTGTGGATTGTAACTCCCAGGATTCCTCACATCTTTAAGTGGCCACATTTGAGAATCATTGGTTTAAAATAAAGGGTGGGCTTGCATTCTCACCTGTGGGGGCTCAAAATTCGGTCTCCACCAGTTACCAATGCAGTCATCAATGACCCAGTCTTGAAGGACGCCATCTTGACGTCCTAGTATCTGTCAAAATACAGATTTCAGATAAAGTCTTAAATGCATTTCCAGGCAATTCACTGAGGCAGAATATAATTGGCTCCGCATTAAGGCCAGCAGTCAGCATTTTTTTGTATCAACTATTAATTAAGATTATTTAAGAAGCATTCAGGGGCTTGCCAAGAGTTGCAGTCTAGTTTATTAAGAGCATATCTACCATCTGACCTGACAGTTATTTTTCACTGCAACACATGTATTTTCCCCAAATCTCTAGAGCACCTTCTTCCAATAAATCCTTATAAGAGTAACTGAAACAGCCCAGAACTATATATCCACTGGATTTTCCTGAAGCATATTTCTGAGAATGATTTTATTTGTTCTAAACCACTTTTTAAAACCCATGTAATAATGCAACTTCACACATACATACACACACACACACACTCTCACACGGAATCTGAAGTGAAAGGAGGTACTTTAGATCTCCCTTCCACATCCTAGGAAAAAATTGATATATGGGTAAAAATAATAAAACATCCAATTTTATTTGCCATCTTTATTCAGATTCAAAATTATTTTATTACTTTAAATGAGTTACAGATTAATTTATTTACACATAAATAACATTCCAATATTACGTGTGAAATCTTTGGAAAAGTTAGACAATTGAATTCACATTTACTTTTATTACCAGTGACAAAACTAGCAATAAGGTCCTAAATATTTGGAGTGAACCATGTATAAAATAGTTCCTGCTCTTTTGAATCGCTAACTACAATTCTGCCACCTGGAATAAGAATAGACTTATTCCTAGTCTCATATTTGAGAATTGTGGTGTATGGTTTGTCTTCAAAGTACAGGAAGGGTAATGAACCAATATTAAACATTGTATACGAACATTTTCACGATGTCGTTTTTAAGTCATTCTGAGAAAGTGAAGACCTGAGGCAAAGGAATGTCTTGTTTTAAACAGTTTATTCGAATTTCTAATGCAAAACATGTATTCGCTTTTTCCTATACTTACAGGAAGACAGAGGGGAATCCAAAATGTCTTGCAGAGAAAAAGGGAGAACATCTTGACACAAGAACAGTTTTTTTCCCAAAAGCCATCCCTCTGCTAAACAAATTATTCCCTCACCGCTGTCAAACTATTCACTAAGTCTGCATTACTATTACTATTGATCTTCTCATCTTTTCTATCACCCGTCTCCTCCCACATATGACTAACTTTGTTGCTTGTATCTTTACAATTTATATTGTTTCCTAGTATGATTTGATTGCTTATTTGTACCCTATGACTATCATTAAGTGTGGTACCGTATGATTCGTGATGATTGTATCTTTTCTTTTTCTTACACTGAGAGCATGCACCAAAGACAAATTCCTTGTGTGTCCAATAACACTTAGCAAATAAGCAATTCTATTCTATTCTATCTTTCCAGGCTGCCCCTTCTCCAAATGATTATTTCTTAGAATAATAATTTGAATAAATGTAGTGCTTACCTCTGTCATTAAACGTTTAAGACCTTCTACCTCATCCTCTCCGGGATTAAGCTCACCACCCGGCCTGATGAAAACATAAAAGGTGTTTTTTAAAATATTGTCACTTCATTTTATAGAGGCAAAAATATAAAACTAATATGTAAGCTTAAATTGTAAAGAATTCACACATTAAGTCATGAAGCAGAGGTGCTAACAAACTTTAAGCAGGAGAATTACTAATAATATCTATATTGTGTTTCTTTTTTTTAAATATTGAGAATATTTTAGAGAAAATATTATTACAGACAATGCTTGAACTATTCCAAAGCTTTTTCAATGCAAAAAATTAAGGTTATGGCTCAGTATTCTATACTTAACAATGTTGTTTTAAAGTGATACACTTCCTATCTAAAGTTTTCCAAAAAGGGATGTTGAACAATAATTGTTCAGCAATTATTATGAAAGCCATAACCAGTAAATGCATCATTTCTTAGGCCCTAATTTTCTCCCTGAATGTCTGAATAACTGACATTTACCATACCTGAAGATGGTGGGAGGAATTATCCAAAGATGAGGGCTAAAGGGTCATTGATTTGAAGACTCCATTTTATCCACTTCAGGTAAATGGACTAGATATGGGGTAATAACTTAAATAAGTTAAATCCAGGACGGAATCCAGAATTGCCGGCAGGCAGATGATCTGCCCAGATCAGTTATTTCCAACTTTTCTAGAGCTTGGAATTTCCATGAAATTCCCAACCTTGGCAAATTTAAGATAAGGACTTCAGCTCCCAGAATTCCCTAGCCAGCCAGTTGTTAAATGAACCCCACAGTCGCTATGAGAGCCCACTATTTGGCAAGGGGCAGCTTTTTTCTGGAAAATGGAAACAAACGACAGCTGCAAGGAAAAACGGCATGTTGGCATATATTGCAGTCATGTGAACCGCAAATGTAAGCTGGTTGCCAAGCAACCAAAATGTGATCATGTGACTGCAGGGAGCAGCCATCCAAACTTTGAATCTGAGTTATAAGTAGCTGGGGACTGGCCGTAGGAGGATTATCGGTATCAATTATTTCTAAAAGATGCAGGGTACTTTCTAACACAGAGGAGGCCATAGGAGAAAAGAGAAAAACTAGGAACTGTAGGAACTGTGATTTTCTGAATGCTACAGAACAATCAGAAAGAAAGCTCATCTCAAAAACAAGTGTTGGACAAGAAGGCACCTAACAAGTCACTGAAAGGGGTGCAGTAGCTAAGACGCTGAACTTGTCAATCAGGTCGGCAGTTCAGCAGTTCAAATCCCTAGTGCCATGTAACGGAGTGAGCTCCCGTTACTTGTCCCAGCTTCTGCCAACCTAGCAGTTCGAAAGTACATTAAAAATGCAAGTAGAAAAATAGGGACCACTTTGGTGGGAAGATAACAGCGCTTCATGCACCTTTGGGGTTGAGTCATGCTGGCCACATGACCATGGAGACATCTTCGGACAATGCTGACTCTTCAGCTTTGAAACGGAGATGAGCACTGCTCCCTAGAGTCAGGAACGACTAGCATACATGCGCGAGGGGAACTTTTACCTTACCTAATAATCACTGGTTCCTGACAAACCACAAAGGCCTGGGGGTACTAGGAGAAATGGTGTTTCTATTTTGTCCCTACCTGCCACTACTACCCTTCAGAGATGTGCTACTACTACAGGTAGTCCTCGACTTACATTAGTTCACTTAGTGACCGTTCAAAGTTAAGCACTAAAAAAAAGTGAGTTACGACCATTTTTCACAGTTATGACCTTTGTAGCAGCCCCACGATCGTGTGAACAAAATCCAGAAGCTTGGCAACCGGTTCGTACTTATCACTGTTGTTGTGCCCCAAGTTCATGGGATCCCATTTTGGGTCCTTCTGACAAGCAAAGGCCGATGGAGAAGTCAGATTCACTTAACAACCAGGTTACTGACTTATCAGCTTCAGTGATTCACTTAACAATTGTGGCAAGAATGGTAGTAAAATGGGGCAAAACTCGCTTAACAAATGTCTCATTCAACAACAGAAATGTTGGGCTCAATTGTGGTCGTAAGTCGTGGACTACTTGCATAATCTTCTTTTTTTGTGGCTCCCCAGTTTGGGAAGAAACTTTGCAGCTCCCCTGGTCCAGCTCCCTGCTCAGTGTGAGTATTGCCACCCAAGATGTTGCCAAGTGTCCTTGACAAACAGCTGGGCAGCTTTGGCTTAAGAAAACCACGAAAGGGACGTCAACTCACAGTTTGAAGAAGGTTGTGCCCAGCTGCAAGAGCAGCACGTGAGGCAGCCTATGTTCGTGCACAATGAGGACCCCCTCAACGGTCCGCCTCATCCCAATCTTGTCAAATTCTTCTCTCATGCGCTGGAATCGGGCGGCTACCGAACTGTCCTTCTCGTAGAGGGGTTCCTTGGTCCCAAAGGTATAATTTGTCAGTGGGTACCTGGAAAGATGGAAGGACATCTTAACAGCACACAATTCTCATGGAAACTATTTCAGGATTTTATCACAGTTTGCTAGATACAAATTGTAACTCGTTAGTAGTGTGTATTTATTTCCAAAAAGGAGACACTCCTGGATTTATGACACCTCCCCTTCCAAAACAAGATTATTACAGAAATATTCATCTATCTCTGCAGTGGTGGGTTCCGGATTCCGGTTGCAACAGGGCCTGGTGTCCTCCACATAAACGTGCACAGCACATGTGCACACGCGTCTTACCCTCCAGTGACGCCTCCGTGAGCCTCCGCAACACTCCAGCTGCTTGGCGGAGCATTGCATAGGCGCTGTACGTATCGGAACGGTACCCGGTGCTCTGGGTAGGCACCGGTACGCCCGTACCGGGGGATACCGCCTGCAACTCACTACTGTACCTCTGCTACTATGGTTAAATCTAAGATGAATTGCTTATATTGAAATTGAATTACTTGGAGAAAACAAAATCAAGGTATTTCAGCAGCCTGACTCTCCTGGGTAATTTATTGTTAGGCAGATAATATGAAGAAGAAAATAGCAGCAAGAAGGCTATGATTGCCCCGTCACTTTCTTGTAACAAGGGAATCAGGCAGACTGCAGAAAGAGTTCTCAGTTTGAGTTGTGAACGGAAACCAGAATCTGTTTTAGCTCTCCATTTCCTAACTGCGAGTAAACAAATCAAGTTATACTTCTGGCCTTTCTAGTTGGCTAAGGAATATGATTTATTTTTATCTTTACAATTAAAGCAACTGCTGCTTTAGCTATAAAGATACAACTAAGCAAATACTAAGAAGAAGGGACATTACACAGCTTAATGAAGACATGGGATGGAGAGCTGTAGAGTTGGGAGTTCTTAACTTTTTCATAGATTGATCTGCGATTGTATCATAGCAATAATGGCTTTTCTATGATGCAGGTAAGGAACAGAGCTGTAACGTAGCTGCACCAAAGTCAGCATCTGTCAGCTATCATGAGCCTCTACTACCACTGCAGCGTAAGATTTACGGTACTTCTCATGAGCTCTGGAGAGTAGAAAAAAATGTTTTTCTAAAACACCCAAAAGATTGATGGTTCTTAAGAGACTGATGAGATTCAACTGATCGTTTGAAAAGAGATATTTCTGATAAGGATAGCCGTAAATTCACTATAGCTCTATGCCCATCTCAAAATGCATCTATAGCACATTTTCCCTAATCTGGAGGATGGAGAAAAATGTGAAATAAAATACTCAAGCTTTACAGCTGACAATCCACTTAAAGATATATTGAGCTGTGCGGGACACATTAGGAAGTGTCAAGTTGAAGAAGGAAATTTACTTTCAGTTACAAAACTAAGGTTTTAGAGCTCCAGGTTTTTTTTTAAGTGTTTCTTAAAAACTGGAAGTTATTAATGATAAGGGTCAGCTGATTTAGGAAAATCAGTTTCATGGATAGTTTCAAAAGGCTGTTCACTTAAAGATCTATATTAACGTTTCTCAATCTTAGCAACTTTATGTTATGTGTATTTCCAACTCCCAGAATACCCCAGCCAACAGGAATTGAAATCTACGTATCTTAAATTAGCTAAGATTTAAGAAACCCCTGATTTATATCATAGCTGTACCATTCCGGCACTTAATTAAAAAAAAAAACTCCCAAATCAAAGATTGTGCTTTTACTATGCTTAATCGTCTGCTTTGCAGAAAAATTATTGGGCAGATGTTACTCTTAGCACCTAAAATGTTCACATCATCTTAAGTTTCACCTTAATAATTCATACACTTATTTACAAGTTACTATCAAACTATAGCACAAATTATGAATGCAAACCAAATACATGATGCTGCATACATACTTATCATAAATCATGTGCTGCAAAACAAGGACGCATGCCTATAGGTTTGGGTCAGGAGTCTAAGCACAAAAAAGTACACACATGGATTAGGTACATGTTTTCTCAAAAAAGTGTCCAACATATGAACTGGGTGCAAACCATGCAAAAGTAATTAGCAGCACATGTATGGTTAAGCCTTCATCATTGTTTACATCATGCACAGAAGATAGTAAACCCAGTCAGAAGACCAGCACAGGCATCCTTAGAAACGGAATTTCAATTTGCATGGTGGTTTGTTCCTCCCTCAGAAAACCCCTGAGCATCTAGTTAACAGCTGCATGCACACAGGCTACTAACCTGATACCAAAATAACCCTTTGAGAAGAAGGGGTGTCTCATACTACATTGAACCATGAGTTGTCTCAAAGGTGCTTTTTCAAAAGGCAATTTTTTCAGATCCTCAAAAAGGGAGCATTTCCCAGTTGCCTTTTGAAAAAGCATCTTTGAGACAATTATGACCCGGATGACTGACAATCTCTGGACCTCAAGGGTCAAGTGGGTTTGCTGCTAACGTACCTGCCTCCCAACAGCGTTGCAGCGGCCCTCCCCTCGCTCCTCGAGTCGGTA